GAAAATAAAGTGTCAAGTTGGGAGAGTTCCCCTGGAAATAAGTCTGGATGAAAGTCTGTAGTATTGAATACAATTTTAAAAACTAACTAAAAACTAACAATATGATCACGTCTTATTAAGGGTCGAATAATACTGAATGACTGTTTAAAGTTAAAAGCAATAACTAACCTTTTAACTTTTACTTGCTCAAAGCTCAGAGCAATACCCGACTTTTAAGTTTTTACTTTATTTTTAAATATGATAAAGATTTATTAAATGCACATAAAATTTAAATAACTTGTTCAAGAATACATAAATCATATACCCAAAGACATTTCTTGTAGTGTGTGCACTCAGTTCTCTTCCGATTAAGATCACATAAAAGAGATCTTCGATCAGTGTTCGCTGCTCAAGTGATCAACACTTTTGGAATACATGTGTGCTGGCTAAGCAAACTGACAGGGAACATGACAAGAACAAGGCCTTTGACAAGACACAGAAGATAGAGGAGCTTATCCACGGTTCCCCCAAAATTCCCACCGAATTCTGTCCAGGCAATTTTACCTCATTCTCACCAGCGATCAGTCGATCTGTCGATCAGCTCGATCCCGATTCCTATCCCGATCCCTATCCCGATCGAGGCAGTTGATCAGTCATTCCCATCACGCAGCACTCGGCACAAAAACAATTAATGCCTGGCAGAGGAGGAATCAAATGATATTTGGCCAAGGACAAGGAGACAGCGCCATGGTGCCAGGCGCAACCACGATTTATAGCCCAAGTGGAATGCGCCATACATCAGTCCCAGGATCAGAGGAGCAAAAACAATTTAGCCAGCAAGGAGGAGGCGCAGCAGTAGTATCTGCTGTCGATGATTAAAACACATTAAAAATCCAGTAGCCCCGCAGACTGAGCTTTTTGGTTTTTCGTTTTTGGTTTTTGGTCGCCTTTCCCGATGCCTCGGCCCCAAACTAATTTCATATTTTTCATGCAATTGATGAAATTCCATCAAGCCCCCAAAAAGCGACTCCTTTCTTGGGCAGCTCAGCTTCGGGACCATCTCCAGCTACAGCCACCATATGTATCTGTATCTGTGTCGCAATCAGAATCCCAGACTGTCCGTCTGTCCGTTTGTCCGTCCGTTTTGTCCGTCCGTTTGCTTGATGCTCGGGGACTACCTGTTGCGACGTGTTATTAGGCGACGTATTGACGACAAGCAAACGTCAACCCGAAACGTCAGCTCATCATATCATCGATTGATGCGCATCGCTTCCCGCTTCCTCCTTTTTCCCGATCCTCCCTTTTTTTGGGGGCCCATGTGCATATTTTTCGGGACTGAAACAGAAACAGAAGCCCTGTTCTGGAATTTTCAAAGGGTAGAACAAAAAAAAAAAAAACACCACGTCAATGTTGTTGGGCCTCTAATTTTGTGCAGATCCGAGAGTTGATGTCGCCCTCCCCTCGTCAAGGTGGTGGTGATATTTGTTAGTGTAAACTGTCCATCAGCCAAGTCGATGGGCCCTTCTTGTTCGTTCCGTTCTTCTTCTCCAGCGCACCGACGTGATTTTGCGCTTTAATGAGGATTATTAAATGCGAGATTATTATGTGCTGCAATTACTTTTCGCTGCCACTGTGCTCGTGGTTTCTTTTAGCTCTTTCGCTTCACTGCTGCTGCTGCTGCTGCTGCTGCTGCTGCCTTTTGCCATCGCCTCTTCATATTCGGGTTTTTTCCCCTTCTTTGATTTATTTTATTGAACCATAAAAATGTAAATTTTCGCGAGACAAAAGACAAAGTTAATCGTTGTCAATTATGGCCTTTGACAGGTTAATATTAAAATGTTCGGCTCGATGGGTGGAAAAGTGTGGAGGGTGATGGGCCCCTTGATTGGCAGCATTCAGCGAGGATGATCGGCTGGAAGATCAGGAGCGAGCCGAGTTGATTAATGCCCTGGATAGCTATTAATAAACGGATGAACAACAGTGTGGTGTGGTGTGATCGAGAAGGGATTAATTGGAGCTTATTTTTGTTTCATATATATTTTATAGTGTTTTTCAAGACATTTTGAAAGTTTATTTTATTCAAATACGTATCACACTGACACACACAAAGAGATATCTATAATGACTTTTTTTCTGGTACTGTTTCAACTGAATTTGATGATTGACTCTCAAGCTTTTAGTTCTCTTAGTTCCTTTTAGTTTTTTTCAAGACAAATTGATTAATTTACTTTTTTTCAAAAACGTATCAGTCTGGTGTAGACAAATAGATACCTATTATAACTACCCACCTGCCATTTTTCCACCTCATTTCTCTTGATGATGACTCATTCAGTTCTGCTGGAGGATCAGCGACTTCTGGCATTCTTCGATCAGCCTTAATGCCATGCATTTGGTGGCAGCCCTTGAAATGTTTGATTATTTCGCAATTTGTGGCCGCTGGCACTGCAGTTTCCGGCAGAGACGAGCGCCGTCCTCCCCCTCGGGCGGGATGCGGAAACAGGAATCCGGGAAGGGGGAAAGAGGAGGGAAAGGGGAGGGGGCACTGGGAGGCAGCACCTCTATTAACATAATCACAACACGAGTCGGTCGTCCGTCGATCTCAGCCCATTCGACGGCCAACCGAAAATTACGGCAAGTGCGAGCGCGAAGAATATACATATGGGTTTATGCGCGGAGATGGAGATGGAGATGGCTCGGCATGGGTAGATCAATTTTTCGGGAACCCAAATCACTGCAGGGCGATCAATTAAAATTTTTGATCGAATTTTCGTCAATTTCTTGACATGTGGCCAGGAACAGAAGCCAAGTAGCAACTGCAGAAAGAGTAAAAAGCGGACGGGCACAGGGACTGAGACAAGACGAGATCAATGTAAGCTGAAATTGTCGGCCGGAGGCCTTAGGCGAAGTTTGCTCAGTCTGCGGGTTCCTTTCCATATTTCGCTGCACAGCAAGAAAAATATTGATTAGGTATTCTCTGTTCACTAAATTATTTGGTTTTTTTCAAAATTAGTTTCTTTTGAAAGGCTTATGCACAGAAAAGTATTTATTAAATAAATTCCAATAAAAGCATTTGAAAAATGTCTACTTAAATGTAATACTTTTTCCGGGTTGCATTTAACTTTAGGTGTTATTTAAAACAAAAAGCAGATTAGATTACACATTTCTTTCTGTGCATTCGCCACAACCTCTTTTTCAACGGCTGCTGTTGCATAGTGAATGAAATTGATTAAAGCGTAAATGAATTTTTGCGGGCCTAAATCGCCGCTGATGGCCAAGAGGAAAAGGTGGGGAGCTGGCGATGATTATAACACAAGATCGATTGCTTGTCGCTGATCGCTAACTCGATGCGGCTACTGTGGAAAGCAGAGACGCCGCAGCAGCAGCTTCTCCAACTCCAACTCCAACTCCATCGTCATCTTCATCTCCATGGACGACCCAGACCCAGACCCACAGCCAGACCCCTCTGCTCTTATTAAGTTTCCGAACATGTTTTCGAAAAGGATCTTGGTATCGACTGCTGCTGTTTTTATGCCCTCATTTGACAAACTAGCCAGGGGCCACGATCGACCTGGCCCGGATCAAAATCTCGATGCGATGCGATGCCTCGGCTTCGATTTAAGTTTATCCGCACGATCAGCGCCAAAAAGCCGAAATGCCAATGCCATAATTTTTTGCCAATCCGCACGCACGGGATTGGGGAAAAAAAAACCGGCGGTATGGAATCCTTGGGCCTTAGAATCTGCTAAAATTCCATGCGTGCTCAGCCAGCATAAACGGTAAAAACGGTAGCCACAGCGAGACGCTATAATTATTGGGGTCGAATCGGGATGGCTAGTGGGAAAATGAAGATCCATGAGCAAACAGACAGACAGAGTTCGGTTCGCAGATGAGCTAGTTCTAAAGAATTTAGAGGGCTTAAAATACCAAATTTTCAAAAAAAAAAAAAATATATATTTTACGGCTAAAATAAATATCGTCTTAAGCGAATAGCTCAGCGTAACAAATATAACTTACTTACTTTCCGGTAAGCATTGTTCCAATAATGGGATATAAGAAATAATAAAAAAAACTAAACTTAAAAAAAAAAAGAATTTCAATTTATTTTATTTTAACGATTGGGAATCAAAAGTAAACGATTTTTACAAAAACTTAACTTTAAATTCATTTAATTTAAACCGTTTGGTACAAGAAAATTTTATATTAAAATTAATGAATCTATCATTGAGATTAAACTCATTTTAGCATATTAAATAAATTCGAACTAAGTGCTTTTAATACATTTTTTTTTAATTTGGTTCCTAAGAAGCTTTCCGAATGAATAATGTTTCCAAATGAATTAAATTATGGGATTAATACATAAGTCCCATTCTAATTATTTCAATCATTGCAAAGCCAATTATACACCACTAGTTGAATAGATCGGAATTCGGTCAACACTTTGCAAGGGCAGAGTGCCATCGCTGATTTCGCTTTGAATCCGAGAGTTTGGGTCCGACTCCGTCATCAATTGCCGCTTTGTGGGGGCTCGGACTTGGTCAGCGACTTGGTCTGTGTCTTGGTCTGGGTCTTCGGCTGGGGCATGTGTGTAGCATTGTGAAAGAGCTCTTTCTGCTCTTTAATGGACTGGAGACGAGAGCCACATTAATTTAGTTACGCTTCGACAACGATCTCGAGTCGGAGATCTGCGCATCATTAAAGACAATTTCGTGATTCGCCACGATTTGTGCAGCAAATTACTTGCTAAATTATAGAAAGCAAACAGTGCCCCTCTGCAGCCGGAGCTGTTGCTCACAAATCAATAGAAATCAACGCCTGTCAGGGCTGAGACGATTCTCATGGCCATTGTTGACTTAATCAATAAAGCGAATTTGGGTTGTTTTCTATTTCGCTTGGCGATTGATCGAATGGAGTGGAGTGGAAATTTCACCGGATCATTTAGCCGAGCAAACAAGCGACAAATGGAAAAGCTTGGCCCAAGTACTCATTGTCTGTTTTCCCTTTTTGTTTCGATTCTTTTGCAGAGTCAGGCCTTGGCCTTAACCAGAGCTGCCAACGCGGCCGCCGTTGTGGCCGCGGCCAATGCCAAATCGCCGAATGCCTCATCCGCCTCAGCCAGCCTGGCCGACTTGGCCGTCAAGAAGGAGCACTCACTGTCGCCGCCCCACAGTGTGGGTGTGGGTGTGGGTGTGGGTGTGGGCGTTGGCGTGGGCGTGGGCGTGGCTGGCGAGGATCAGCACCGCAGAGCCTCGCTGCAGGGTGTCCAGGAGAAGCTCACCCAGCTGCAGATGCAACAGCAACATCACCAGCAGCAGCAGCAGCATCAACAGCAGCAACATCACCACCAGCAACAGTCGCAACAGGCGGGCGGAGTGGGTGGCGAGGTGGCTGGGCGCAGGTCCTCCGAGGGCACCCCACCCAGCGGCCATCCGCCGGCGAATTCAGAGGGCCAGGCGCTCTCCTCCTCCACAGCCTCATCTAGTCAGAATGCCACCCCTAAGAGCGATCGGGAAAGGGAGAGGGAAAGGGAGCGAGAGGAGCGTGTGGAGCGGGGCAGCATATCATGCCTCCCACCGGCCGCCCTTGGAATGGCCGTGGGCGTCCAGCAGGCCCAGCAGCAGGCGGAGAAGCTCCTCAGCCATCCGGCCTTGGACTCGCGAAGGGAGTTCGACGTCAGCAAAGTGAATCGTGAGTAAAGAACGCTTTCATTATGTCAAATCAAATATATTTACTTGTATTTATAAAGGGAAGGGAATCCTGATAATTTAAAATATTTGGTATATAAATATAATCCGTATCTGAATAGCTGTAACTAGCTCACAAAAAAAGGAGGGTGGGTTAAGGGCCAAATGGATACTTTAAAAAACAATAAGGCTTTCACAAGCATTGTAAACCTTTCCCTTAATTTATTCTTTAGAAATAATATTAGTTTTGTGATCGACATTCCGTACAGAAAATGTTCAAAATATCTAATATTTTCTAAAACTATTAAAAGTTGCATTAAAAGTTATACAAACATTAATATTTTTTTAGCTTATATTAAGGAAGACATTTATGATTGCGTAGATTAAAAATATTTCAAAAAGTATTTTCTTTATTTTTTTTTTGTTTTTTTATGTTTTCATCAATGGTGTAATTACTGAGAATTTATGGCTTAAATATTAAATAAGTCGATTTTAAAAAACAAATCTGTCTGCTGAAGCATGCTCTACATTGAGGATTTGATAAAATAATTTAAATTGCAATGATTTCTAATCAATAATGACAAAGAGTAGGAGCAAAATATATAATGAAATTTACTATTATTCATAATCCAGTGCGTGATTATGTGTGTAATTAAAGGGGTTTGTGTGAGCGAAGGCAACTGGTGCGGGGAAGTTCTCAGACCACTTTAAAGACACATCTTTAATCAGGCCAGCTGCTGATGGCAAATGGAAATGGTCGAGGCATTTCCTCTGTCTCAACTCAGCCGGCCTAATCCATGAAAAGTTCATTTGATTTGCTCACAAGGCATTAAGCACGTATCCCACAGATACACAGATACACAGAAACATACAAGGGCACACGCACAAACAGACAAGTGGATACGTTCCTTGAGCAATGGCCGTGGTAATCTTGTTTGGTTCATCAATAGTTTAGCCATGGCCAGAAGTAAACCTGTGCCACCTCGATGCGGATGCATGCGTCGAGTATCTGCCGGATATAAATGGAAACTGTGAAGCCTTTTGCATACCAACGATATCAGCCCGAGCACGAGGCACTTCCTTGGCTCCATTCAGCCACAGAGACAGACACAGATACAGATACAAACACAGAGACATATACAGATACAACACACTCGTATATGCATCGAAATCCCCTGGATTAAGCATATGAAGCATTCATAACGTTTATTTTGTGTACGGATGTGTATCTGTATCTGTATCTGCGTCTGTTTGCGAGCAAACATTCACTTCTGCTTAGGAAGTGTGTACGTGGGTGGGGGGGTTTGAGGTTGAGGTTGGGTGGTTGGCTGTTTGGCTGGTTGGGTGGGTGCTAAGTGAGCACCCACTTGTGGAGTGAATCCCCCGAGGAGAATGCAGGCCAGGAAGCGTGCCTTGCTTTTGTTTACTCTGGCTTCAGTCTTTCGTCTCTCGGGCACTCCATGCGTATATGCAATCTGGCCGGATGTGTGGCAGCACGTGTGCTCTGGCTCAACAGGTGGCCTTTGACCACCGGTGGCAACTTGGTGGATGTGGATGTGGATGTGGATGTGTCACATGGCCAATTTGTGGCTTCACCTTCGCAGATAGTTGGCCAAACAATTGACTTGGCCGATAAATGTTGTTATTGTTAATATTTCAGGTTACCCAATACTTTAAGCTTTCTTTTCCAAATTCACAAATACCAAGGCTCGAGCCTAAAACCCACTGCAGCAGAGAGGATTTGATTTGAATTTTGTCGCTGTGAATTTGTGAAAGTCTCGCTCGCTTCGTGTGTGTGTGTGTGTGTGTATGTGTGGGTGAGTATCTGTGTAATGTGCTTTGTAGCATATTTTGAGGATTTGCACAACAAAACGTGGACAGAAATGGAATGGACTGGGATCCAATGGATGCCATATCCTACGACCTACGGATGGGGCTCAGTGCAGTTTGGTTTGCTTATTGTTGCCGTCATTTGGCATTGTTATTGCTGTTTTTGTTATTATTGTCATTTAACATTGCCATTGGCAACAGCTGCACATGTGTGTGTGTGACTCAGTGTGTGTGCTCACATGTAAATCTGTTTTATTCCGATGCGTTTTGTTGTGCATATTTCGGAATGTGTGTGCGTGTTTATTGCGCCTAAGCTGCTCAGCGACGCAACACGATATTTATCCTGCCGCACCACCCATCACAAACCCAAACTCAAACTCAAACCCAATCCCAGCACTACCACCCCCATTTTGGCAGCTGGGCTTTTCCATTTGGGACCAATTTTTATGTTCCTGTTTTTGCGATTCTGCTGTCTCTGCCGCTGCGTTTCGATTTATGCAGAGTTTAGTATGCAACATTTTCATACGTTAGCCTTAATAAATCCCCACCCGGCTGCACTTGTCAATATGCGCGCCATGGCTGTGGCTCTGGCTATGACTATGGCTCTGACTGTGGCTGTGGCTGTCCAGGCCCCTTGGTGCTTGCTGCAGTTGTGCCATACTGTTGGCACCTATAAGCCTATGCAAACACACACCCATGCCGGCGAGGCGACGCGCGCTCTGCAATTGAAAATCACTGCGCCTTAGTTAACGACACGTTTGTGGATCAACGCGTTTGGGCAACGAAAAACACTGGACATTGGACACACTGGCCCCCACTTGACCCTGCTATTGAATCATTGTTGCCTTTGGCCACCGAAAGTAGAGCAACAGCAGCAACAGCAGCGGCAGCAGCGGCAGCAGTAGCAGCTGCATCCGCATGTGTCATAAGCCAGGCGCCATACATACAGGACTCTGTGGACATAAGCATGCGCTCAAGGATTCAAAAAATGGTCACCGGCACCCGTTCGATCGGCTATTATGCAGATGTCATATGGGGCCGGATTGTATAATGAGATGGTGGGCACCGGCTCCGGCTCGGGCTCGGTCTGGGCGGAGAAGCACCGATAAGCCCTGATGGACGCACAAGTGTCGGCAACGCACTCACTTAGCTTCCGAGTTCTGTGGAGTGCTACCGGTAATCAGGCGCACACAAAAGCAACGCACTGCTCCTGCTGCAGGATAAGAGATACTCAAAACCAGAGCAGGAAGGAGCAGCCGGCTTCGCAATCACACGCAAAACTAGCTTCAACTTGGACTCGGAATCGAACTCGGACTCGGTATCGGAATCGAACTCCAACTCACCTCAGTCACCTGTGAGAGGAGTGGCTAAGCCCTGGGCCGATGGATCCGCCGGGGCGACAGGTGGGCGGTTGAGCGGCTGCAGCTTAAGTGTTAAGCGTTATGCACAGTGGCCAGTGCGGAACTGAATGATACCACTCACCTAAGCCGGTTCCCAGCCCACCATCACCCACTTCCCAATCACTTCCTAAAACCCAAAACCCCATCCTGGCATATGTGCTGACGCAGAGCATAGATGCAGATGCGGATACAGATACAACCTCAGATTGAGATACAAATTCGAATAAATGCCAAAAGCAACAGGAGGCAACATTTCCGAATTATAAGCAAAAAGGGATTGGCCCGGCCAACGACGGCAGCAACAACAACAACAACAACAACAGGAGCAGGAGCTACAGCATAAAAGCCGGTTGTTGCCACACACACACAGCCACACACACTCTGGCATACATTTAGCCAGGACATCGCCAGGAGCTAAAGGCAGGTGCTGCAGGTGATGCTGATTGAGTTAAGCCACCATCATCGAGTGCACTGCAAAATGCAGAGGGCCAACTCAAGAGTAGCCCTTCACTTGAGTGATATGTTTTGCCTGCCACGGAAAGTAATGCAATCAGGGATCATTAAGTTACTTAATAACAAATTTAAATTAAAAAAAAACATCTGATGATGTCATAATTAAAAGGGAACGTCATTCATCTTACATGTTTAACTTAATCAATATAAATATTATAAAAATATGTAAATAAACTTTACTTATCAGACATATTTTAACCTTCATATTAGATCTTAATTATATACTAATTTAAATTAAAATTTAATTTTAACGACCTTAAAGCACAGTACAAATTTTTCTTTGGAACAAATAGGCATGATCACGTATTTTTGGTAAGCTAAAATTACATAAAATTCCATAAGTTCAGCTTACTTCCATGCAAAGGATTAAATAGGCCTTAAAAATTAAACAAAAATATTTTTGATCAAATCATTGAAAGTATCCGAGTTTTATATTCATTTCTTTATACATTTAACCATTTGAAGCATTGCCCATTTCTGTATGTGTATCTGTGAAGGGAGATTTCGCCTCGATGGCTAGCGCCTCCACTTCCAGTTGGTCCTTTTAGCCCTGACACAAAGAGAACTACAAATTTTAAGGATTTAAATGTTGGGAGGGGAGCACGAATCGAACACTCCGAGCTGCCACATCGGGAGATGAGCCGGAGAGTCCACAATCCCCGCCTTCTGCCCTCAGCAACATGCATCTTGCAACCTCCAAACTCCAATCTCCAAACGTGCAACGTGTAACGTCCCCCGAGCCACTTGCAGCTCGATTCGAGCGGCTTAAGGATCTCTGTTCGTTTCGGTTTATAATCGAATAAATACTCCCTGTGTGCCGTGCGATTATCAAAACAGAAGTACATACACAAGCCACAGCGGCAGGAATAGCAACTATAAATCACGTGCATTAACTTTGAGCGCTTTTGTGCGAGTAAATATATGTGGAAGTGCGTATCTAATAATACACAAGTGGAATTATGCTGGCAGCACATTTGTAATTAGACAAGGACCAGGTCTGCCAAACGTTTCGATTATGAATATTAGAAGACTAGACATTTTCCCTTTTGGCAACAACAGCTGCAACTGGGATTTGCCATAAGCCTCCGACTGAAGGACACACTTTCTTGAGATTCTGTACAGGCATCCTTTACTATTTTATTAAGCCACAAGCAAATGCCAGAGTGCCAATTAACGCTTCTGCTAAACCGTTTATTTCCTGTCACTTAATATGGAATTTTCCCCATTTTCCCTCTTCGGCCCATTTAATATTCAACTTTAA